TTGTCTTGTTTTCATAGAAACATTTATTCATCTAAAATAAAATTAATCATATTCAACAATTAATACTTTCTATGTATTTTTGTTTCGAAAATCATGTGATAATATTTGTAAGTTTATTATTCTTTTTGCCAAACATTTTTTTTTTTTTTTGCATGGAATTAATAAGATCAAACTCTACATAAAACTATATATTTAGAGAACTAGCTAATTTCAACTCGAAACCACAAATATCTTTTGTTATATTTTCTAAAATCAAACCATTAAATAATTTAGATCATAATTTCAACTATTTTTTATGATTTTCATAGTCATAAATATGATTCTCGAATATTATTTTTTTATTTTGTATTATATTTCTTGATTCGATATTGAATCTCGTAATTCCAATTTTGTTGTCACACATAACGTGGTTTGTTGCCTAAGGCTATATATGGTTGTTTAAACTACATAACACTCGTTATTCAAGGATGTTTAGATATCTAAAATTATAATACACGTGTAATATTAAGTTTTCCTAAGTTTTAAGACAAACTAAACATCTTTATATAGTCATATACAATTAGTTTGAGCACAACTATCATTGTATGCAAGTTTCTAAAGTTCAATTTAACTTGATATTACATTATAATATTATATAATCATAAGATATGCATTACAAAAAATACATTATCATTCAATAACAACAACAAAAATCAGCTTAGGTATGAGATGTCTAGCTTGATTAGATTCCAAACCCTTTAAAAAGTAGTATGTCTCGTTTATAGTTTTTAAACAGTGGGGGCATTATCTTACCTTCTCACCCAAAACATGATAAACCCCAGGACCGACTCTGACTTTATCGATCATCTTGAGAAAGAGCATTGAGAAAATTAGGTACAACTTAAGGTGGCCACTGCCCCAGTTCCTGCAATTAGTTAAGTATGTCTTAGTGTTAGATTCCCAGCATCAAGAGTACAAAAACATAGTGACCATTGCATCGTCCCATTAGACATAAGAAATTAAAGGGCTTTTTTCATTGTTTATGGAGGTGGGTTGGCTTGATCGTGTGGATTCCACAGTCCTTAGATTATATAACTATTTTCTTTGCAACTTTAGTGTGGAATGCACACTCCTTTCAGTTTAATATATTACTGAAGTTCCCAAATCTCTCATGATTTGCTATAAGTGGTATCCTATCCAGCTCACCACCTTCTTAATTAGGAGTTCTACTTCCTTTTTCCCTTCTTGGCTGGTATGGTTGTGCAAGTTACTTTATAATGATATTGGACTTCTTTTATTAGGCTAAGCATGCATAGTTTCGTAATTTATAAGGGAAGTTTGTTCAGATTATACCAAGAATTATGCGAATTCTTATACTATTTTATCTGCCTACGTACTTTTATTGCCGTAAACTAAACTTTCAGAGACTATACTTGCTACGTGATAACATGATTCCATTCCATGTTTTTGTTCCTAACGCATACATATTAATGACGAGGAACACATTTTTGTTATGTTACTAATTAGTACTTGTACTTGCTCTGCTATGGTTTCTTATGGTAGCGTTCTTGTTGAGAACTTAACTAATTAGCATGACATATGGTCTCTGTTGGTAGAAATAAATTAGAAGATGAAATAATTAATATTGTGAGAACGAAGGAAACCAAGAGTATTAGTGAATCAGAATCAGAATAATGGAGTCTGTATATATGTGCCATCTGGTAGGGGACTATAGTGGCATATATACGGTATAGGATACAAGTTAAAATACTTAACCGAAAGACGAAAATAGTTGAGAACAAGGTATAATTAATTAGTTGATGATGTAGTTGACATGGTATGTGGCAATTATTGGCTAAAAAAAATTAGTTGTCTTGGTTGCACAAATCTCATACTTGGATTTTATCTGTGTGGATTAGTTGGGAAAACTCGTGAGTGAAGAACTAGGGTTTAGGCCCAAATCAGTTTTGGTATTATGAAATTAATTTGAGGATAATCTTAAATATTCGTTCTGATTTTGGTAGAAATTGTTACCTTTTTTTTTAATTTTTTTAACCAAGAGAATTATAATTGATATTATATTAATGCCGAGAATAACTCCTTATTGAAAAATGAATGGTGGAAATACGAAATGAGCATTTTCATAAAGGCAGTTACCAAATTGATAAGATTATATCCATACGGAGCAGTGACGGATCCAAAAATTTTTCTGAACGAATGCACCTTTAAGGTCAATCAAAGGCCAATAAAGTCGCGGCTTAACTTAGGGAAAAGTCAATACGGTTTGATCGAGGAAAATTCAATTATGTCTATTTGATATAATACATTTTTACAAATGAAACTGACTTTGACTTTTTGAGCAAAACGCAACACTACATCTTACACTCGGCATATTCTCGGCCGAATTCTATCTTTATGGGGAATTTTTTTTGGTTCATTTCATGACGGTCAATAAATGTAACAACAAAATATAATTTCATAAATTTTTTACATAAATATGTTTGATGACATCATGGATGGAGGAAAAATAACCGATTTTTAAGTATCATCAAAAAAATTAAAAATAAAAACTTATACAAAATATGAATTTTAAATGTAATTAATTTTAATTCTTTTCAAGTTATTTCGAATAAACATGTATTGTCATTAGAACGAGACAAGAATCAAATTTAAGATTAATGGGGAGATAAGAAGAAAATACTAAGGGCCGTTTACTGAACGTTTACCCGGTAAGTACTTACCAGGCAATTTTTCTCACTGGATGAACATGGCAAGAGCCAAGAATCTTATCCGGTAAGAGTGATAATAAGGATGGAGAGTCTTATCCGGTAAGTGAGAGTGACGACTCTTACTCGGGTAAGCGTTTACTAGAAAAATTGTTGCATAAGATACGTTTTGATGTACTACAATCTTATCCAATAAAATAAATTATAGTGTTAGACTCTTACTGTAAGCACGTATCGGGTAAGCATTTGGGTAAACGATCTCTTAAGAAAAGTAAAAGTAAGATTGAGACAAATGTAAATGAAAAATAGTTGTAGTTAATTGGTAAGACTTTGCTATTTTATAATTGAGGAGTTAAATTTTTTGTTGCATATTTATTTCCTTTTTTTTAAATATATAAATATAGAAATTGTTGTCAAAAAGATGTAAACCTATGACCTTAAAGAATGCGAGTAGTGCTACAACCATTCCAATAACCTCACTCTCCTATTTCAAGTTTAGTTTTAAAAACATATTAAAGCACACTTTAAAATTAAACGGGTGCACAGTTACGACTGGTAAAAGATTTTCAGTACAACGGGAGGATCGAGCGGGTGCCCGTGCACCCCCACTCTATGAGTAGATCTGCCCCTGATACGGAGGCTGAAGCATCATTAGCTAGCTAGCTGAGCAATGAACCATCCATCCAGAAGTGGAATCATCATCAGCTAGCTGAACCTTGGGGGCTAACCATCAACATCTAGTTGAACGCTAGCTAACATATAAGTGGCAAACCATCATTAGTGGTAAACCATTAGCTAGTTGCACGTTAACTAAACCTCAGTGGCAAACTATCACCTAGCTGAATGCTGAAACATTCATCGGTTACCTAAACTCACTAATTAAACCATCTAAATCACTAGTGTTTGACAAATAGATTAGTGACTACTTAACCCTGGAACCCCACAAGGGGGTGCGACCCCGCCATATGGTGCCATCCAGCGATCCCGAATTCTAATTAGTTTACACAAATATACACTATACACCTCGTGACCCATGTTATAGCTTAAACTAACAGCCTCATATTCTCTTATAAATACAATTAAATACAGTAGGTCCGATAATTTCACAAAAATTATCAACAAAGATGCGACCATGAACAGGTGGTGAAGCCTTTACTTCTCCACTGGGATTAGTTTTTAAAATGCAAGTCCCACCTCAAAGGTTGTAACCATGTTATTGTTTTTGCATATCAAAGAATTTGATCAATATAATTACACAAATTCTATTCATATCATCTCTTATAAAAACCTACCATTTTTTATACACTTTTACACTAAAATACAAAAAAAACACACACACTAAAAACTATGTAATCTTATTTTCAGTTTTTAATCCTTTTCATAATTTTCATTTTAACCCATATATTTTTAAATTTTATTGTTTTTAACCCCTTTGATATTTGTCTATTACTCTCTTTACTTTTCTATTTTCTATTTTGTAAACTAATTATATTAATTAATTAATAATATATTAACTGAAATATGTATATTTAGTACTATAATTAAATTTAATTATGTCTTAAAACATATTAAAAATAATCTTTATGATCATTATTTTAATTATTATATAGTTTTGGTAAAATTTGATTTATATTTCTATATAATATGATTTTTTTTATATTTACCTTCGTTGAGTCTCATTCTCATTTTTAGAACCCATTTTTTCATTTCGCTAATTTCTCGTTCTCCGATTATATGTTCTTAATATCAGTCACAATTTGTACAAAAGATATCCAAAAATATTTAATATTAAGCTCAATTTAAATATATAGACAAGAAACTATTAGGTGTAATTTCTAAAAAAACATATTTTAAATGTATTTTTGTTAATATATAATTGTTATATTTATAAAATAATGGTGGAAAATAAAAAGATAAAAGATAGAAAACATAATAAAAAATAATTATGTGGATATAAAGTGTGATTATTAAAAATATTTCCTAGTATTTATGATATATAATAATATGATTAAATCTAAATATTCGATATTAGCACTTATTTTGAATGTACCAACGAAACGGTTATAATGGTGTAATTTGTTAAAAAAGAAATGTATTTTTCAATGTATTTTAGTTCATATACAATTATACATATTAATATGATAAGGGTGTAAAATGAAAAATAAAAAAATAACTAATTATAAGAATATAAATTGTAATTTAAAATTTAAATTATATATATATATATATATATATATCACTTTCTTTGTCTGTCCTCTATATATATCTTCTCTAGGGGGGACTCTTTCCACAACAAGCAAGTTTCAATTCCTCATCCCCTTCATCCTTTGAGTACAATATTTTGCTTCCTCTTTCACCTTCATGGCTACTGCTCAAAATGATTCAAGTGTTCCTATTCCAGAAAACCAATCTCACCCAAAACAATGCCAATTGGCAGCAGAGGAAGGCTTTGATTACTCTCAAAGGGGACAGTGGCTCCGTGCAGCAATCTTGGGAGCAAATGATGGTTTGGTTTCTGTTGCATCTCTGATGATGGGTGTTGGAGCTGTGAACCATGATGCCAAAGCCATGATTATTTCGGGGTTTGCCGGACTAGTTGCAGGTGCATGCAGTATGGCAATAGGAGAGTTTGTTTCAGTATATTCTCAATTAGATGTAGAAGTGGCTCAAATGAAGAGAGAGGGTAGAACCATAGAAAATCCTGAAGAAAAAAAGAAAGAACAGCTGCCAAATCCTACGCAGGCAGCTGTAGCATCAGCTCTTGCATTTTCTCTAGGTGCGATTGTTCCGTTACTTGCTGCTTCCTTCATAGGTGACCATAAGGTGAGGTTGGGAGTGGTAGTAGGGGCTGTGAGCTTAGCACTTGTGCTTTTCGGATGGATTGGCTCTATTCTTGGGGGCACTCCAGTAGTGAAGTCTTGTTTTAGGGTTCTCTTTGGAGGCTTGATGGCTATGGCCATCACTTTCGGACTTACCAAGCTGATTGGCTCTAGTGGACGACTTTAACTTGTAATCGAATCATTTTCATGTGTATGAAATAAAACGCATGCCTTATTTTTATGTCAAAAATTAATGTACCATAGGCCATTGTTTGGGATTTGAATTCGTTGAATGCTAAACATGTAATGTGTCTGTTTAGTCACAGAGAAGTAAGCATCTTCTGCATTCAAAACTAGAGTTTGTTCCCACCCAAGTTCCTGCCAATAGATTAAGAGTTCATATATAACATTTAGGCTGGTCTTTATATGATTACGAGTGTCCTTTATGGTATTAATCGTATGATAACATTAATCACATTGTTCTGTTGTGTTGTTTGCAAACTAACCATGCATGTCATTGTTTCAATTAAAGTAAGCTTTCTGCCAACAGTTAAACCAAGTTGATTGAGTCTACTCTTGAGGTGAAGTTTTGCATTCAAAACTAGAGTTTGCATGTCTTGTTTGTTGTCAAAAATGTATAAACGTACCAAATTAAACATGCCATTGATTAGGATCTGAATTTGTTAAATGCTAATTATATCAAGTGTTTGTACTAGTGATAAAGAATGATGTTTGGGGTGAATGGAGGCAGACCGTTGTTGGACAAAACCTGCATGGTTTGCGTTAGATTTAGCCATTTGGGCTCGTTTCTGACCTCAAGCCTGTGCTTTTATGTGTTCTTGAATTTCTTGTTTTTGTTTTTATTTCAGCTCATGGGTAGGAGTGTTCACAGTCAAGTTTGGATGGTTTAACCTCTTAAACCATAAACCAAACCATAATAATGGTTTAAATATTTTTTTTCAAACCGACCGGTTTAAACCGGTCCAAATGAACTTTGTGCTAATACTGCATTATTAAGGAAGTACTATATATACTGAATTATAAAATGAACATATGTCTCTAAATTAACTTATAAAAGAACATATTGATTAAGTTGAAAAAGAATCAAATAAATCCACTAACAATAGTTGGAATTTTTAGACAAACATTAAGCATGTCAATAATCCCTAGGAACCCAGTCACTTAAATTTCTGGATCCTCTACTGAAACGGGTCAATAATTCTTAGCTTCTGATTTTTTAGGGTTCTTTTTTAAACATGTTCTGTAAGTTATATATGAGAGAGCATTTAAAGTAGAGAGTTGGAATTTTACTCCACACTCCTTCCATTCTTTAAGTTATCTCGTGTCTCACTTCCTTGTGGATGGCACACTTCTCATATATTGTAAATCAAACGCATTACTCACGAGTCCCACAATCATTGAATCTTGAAAAGATAACAATTAATTAATGATTCCAACTTTCCACTTAATTTCATTATAACTAAAAGTAATGTAAATGCTTTCTGATCATTAAACTTACAGAACCTGTCATACCTAATCTGCAACTCTTTTAGACCCACGCATGGCCCTTAATTGGCCATGCATGTTTGCTATACACTTAAACCCTAGAGTCAGCAGGGTTTATTGGTCTAAAAAGTTTCCCAAAAGTAGCCAAATTGTTCAATCTTGTTTATCATCATCTGAATTCATGACACCATACACAACTTAACAGTTTTTTAACGTATTTGTAGACGACAGTTTATTAGAGTTCCCTTGTGGTTCCTCAGCTCTGCTAGCCGTTTGCAGTTTGCTTGCTTGAAGTGTACACATTCAAAGAGTTTGAAGAGATGCGAGCGTTACCAAACTCTTAGAAAAGCCGGTTTGATCAACTATTTGTGAAAAAAATGAGTCTGGACCGGACTGGACGGGACATACTAGATATGACCTCAAAATAACAGGTCTAAAGGAGACTTTTTCTTTTGTGCAATTAAGCGGTTCCTTTTTTCACAATATTCTTCAGAAATTTCCCTTTTTTTTTTATTTGCCTAATTTCACGAAAATAATCCACTTTGACTCCCCGAAAACCTAAGGGTTTCTCCACAAGGTTCGTCCAATCTCATTTTTTCACATACTTTGTATATGTGACTTGTGAGGTACAGCATGCTTCGGGGAGTTGAAAATAAGCATAATGGACAAATTTGAAGGGAAAAAATTGGATACGAGGGTCTGCCATATATATATGCTCTATAAATAAAAAAGTTTTATGATCACATTTTCATGCCGGAGATTTTAGTGAAATCATCGTATTGATGATTTTAATGAAATCATCATGTCATTTTGTATAATTAGATTCACAAAGTTAAGCTACAATACGAGTAAAGAAATGTGGAGTTCACACTCATATAAGGTTATCTAGAACTTGGGATCGTTGGATGACACGATATGGCAAGATCATAGGGGCAATGCCCCTAGCAGGGTCCAAGGGGCAGCCTCCCGAACACTACTAAAAAATCTGGTTTTTTCGACGGCAAAATCCGTCGGAAATCCGTTGGAAAAACCACTTTCCGACGGATTTTACCGTCAGAAAAACCCCCGCCGCTTAATGCAATTTCCGACGGAATTTCTGACGGATTTGTATTTTCCGGCGGAAAAATCCGCCAGAAATCCGTCGAACAATTTTATAATATGTTATCCTTTTTCCGGGTTAATTAGAAGGTATATAAAATGAGATTAGAGTTACCGACGGAAATTCCGTCGGAAATCCGTCGGTAAACTTTTTACATTTTCTTCCAAAACAATAACCAGTTTTTATTTCAAAAATAAAAATAACATTTTTCCGACAAATGTCCGACAGAAATTCCATCAGTAATTATATTTAAAAACTTTTTTTTGATTTAAAATATAAAAATGCTTTTTATTTTTAATAAACGAAAAATATTTACCGACGGATTTTCCGTCGGACAATCCGCCAGAATTTTTTTTAATAAAACTTATATCTAATTATTTACCGACGGATTCTCCGCCAGAAATCCGTCGGAAAATTAGCTAAAAACCAAAAAAAACCAAAAAAACCTCATAATCTAAAATCCTAAACTATAAAGATCCAGTAAATTAAATACAAATATACAATACACAAATATGTCATAAATACCTAATATGATTATCCGGACGAAATAATATACATATATAAATTCGATTGATTACATTAGTTCATAAATACACTATATCAAATCTATTGCGGCGGGGTCGGCGGAAACTGTTGAGATTGTGTAAATTTCTTCATCTTATTCATCATATCCATCATGTCTGCATGCTCTTTCTTCCGGATCTCATCTTCCCTGTTTCGGATCTCTTCTCGGCGAAGAAGTTCATCAACCTCTTTCCGTAGGATCTCATCTCGAGTGCGCATTTCTTGAATTTGGGACTGTAAGTTGTTAATTAACTACAAATAATAAAACGTTAAAATTTCAAATAGGAAGTATAAATGAAATAAATAAACATCAAAAGATAAAAAGATACACACCTGACTATCTATATTAGACGATCCACTCAAGTTTGCTTGTGAGGATGTACCGGTCAAGACCATATTGGGATCTTCATTGTACCCGAATAGACGGCCTTTCTTGGATCCCCCAACCGCCTCATTACACAAGTCGGTATCAACTAGGGGATAGACCGAGGGATCCTCACCGTACTTTTCGATAAGATTGTTTTAATAGGTACCCTGTCATTTAAAAAATACTACCAGTCAATTTCGACAGTGTAACGACTGTAAATGGAACGTTTCCAACTAAAATAATCCTAACGTTTGCCACCAACAAATGGCAACCCAAACTAGATATATATATATATATATATATATATATATTAACATTCTAACTTAAACAATCCTAACATTTTCCCAACAAATGGCAACTCAAATTAGATATAAATATATATCACACACATATACACTAACATTTTACCTTAAATAATCCTAACGTTTGTCCAACATAAGACAACCCAATATAGAGTTTAAAGTTATATATAATTATTGTAAACTTACCGCAACCCGGCTACACCTCGAAGTCACGTACTCCCCTCATCACCCGCAACCCGAAGATGACTTTGTACTCGACCTCTTCTTATGCGTATGATCGAATAGTTCCACAGCGGACGATGGCACGCCATTTTTTGCTTTCGTCTACAAAGTTGCAAGAATAAAAACATGTGTTAATTGTATCATATTAAATCAAGCCACTAAAGTAATCGATTTTAAGGACCTACCACACGAGCACCATGCATAGCGAATGTGATCGATCCACCGGTGTGTTTGGTTATATCATCTTCCACCATAGTCTTCGGTTATCATGCGCCGTCTTGGAAACTACACCCTTCCAATGGGGCGTGTTCCAGCGATCAAACATCTCGCACCAGATACAAGGATCGAGCCACTTAGGGTGGAATCCCTTCAACATATTCATATCTCTATTATGGTCATTTCCTACATAGGGCATCGATTGACTTCTGGCTTTTTCGCCTACTCTTCTCCTAGCAGAATCATACCATCATTATAGTTTTTGGCATCCCGGGTCTCCCATATTTACAGCATCTTGGCGTCCAGTGTTGGATCCCAATAATAGTACCCCTATACATAAAAAAAATTAGTTGCTTGTTGAGTTCAAAATAAAACTAGCAAAAATATAACAAGTTAAAAGAATACTACAAACCTGGAAATGCTCCCACATCCGTGTCTTCACCTCCTTAGGGATTTCCGACAACGTGCACCGTGGCCCCTCAATCATTGATCGAATAATCTGAGTCAAATGACGGGTCGCATGGATGTTGTTAAACCTGTGAAATGAGTTGAATTAGTATCGATACCCACAAATAACTAATTAGTTAATATAACACTTACTCGTTGAATGTAATGCCAATCCTCTTTCTCTCGGCTGGTAGATGTTCTGGAGCATTGATGCCACATACATTTGCAGACTCAAAGTCATCTGCTTGTACAGAAGCACTATTAGATCCTGCAGTAGGTATAGGTTGGCTAGTAGTGGGTCGGCTAGGTGTAGCAGTAGATGGGGACGGAGTACCTGTAGAATCTCCCCTACCTCCTCCACGCCAAATACACGACATACTATAACAAGTCTACAAAAAAAGGGTTATTAAAACACTGAAGATTTAAAAAGATAAATTCACAAAGATAACATATAGACAAGTACACTTGTAAACAAAGTTTATTAAGACTAAAATCAACCTAGTATTTAATCATCTGATCAGTGATCAGACAAGTCAGGTTCTTCTTCGTCTGAGTCAGTATCTGAGTCTTCAAACTCTTTTCCTTCGTCACTACTCTCGTCAACATGCAGTTGTCACGACCATTATTGGCAACTTTTATGTCTTCAACACAAGGGTGGTGCCTGATTGGTTTGAGCTTGACTCCAAAGGTCAAAAGTACCAGGAAGTCTCGGGTTCAAATCCAAGGATCAATAAAAATCCCCTTGTGGCCATGGAGGTTCAAATACGGTGACTCCGGGCTATCTGCAAAGCAGATGGTCGCCCTGGGATTAGTCGACTCGCATAGCGGGTTGGATATCCAGGTTAATAAAAAAAAAACTTCTATGTTTTCTTCTTCCGTGACAAGACAGATGGGTTCATACACTTCTTCGTTTGTACCTATGGATGTTATTCTATCATTTTCTTGAAAAAATTGTTCCTCGTCCACATTTTCATCGGAAGGTACTTCGATTACACATGACGCTAAGTCATAGACCCCTCTTGGCTTTGTTTTCACCACAGACCACCAATCATTTAATAAGTTCGATGGATATGGTACATAATATACTTGTTCAGCTTGTGATGTTAGAATAAACGGGTCGTCTGAACGAAGTCTTGATCTATGTTAGACATCCACAATATTATGTTTTGGGTCAACTCGAACACCATTAACTATATCAAACCATGTGCATCTGAATATCGGTACAGCACAACGGCCGAGTCCATACCCATGATATTCTATCTCTTGGACTTCATCCAACAATCCATAGTAGTCAGACTCACACATACTCCACTGTTATGAGTGGTGCGACAGGTACCGTGAGTTAGGGTGTGGAACTTGTAACCATTTACGAAAAACCCAGGGTGTTGAATAGCATAACGGAGTGGTCTTGAAGCCAAGAATTTTAGACCATCGGTAATGTTTAAGAAAAAAGTTTTTAATAACTAAAACTTGAAAAAATTAAAAATAAACCATTTTTATAAGTCTAAAATTACCGACGGAATATAATTTTTTTTAATTAAAAATTATATTCCGTCGGAAATCCGTCGGTAATTTTAAAAGGAAAAAATGTTTTATTTTTATTTTTTTCCTATCAAAAATATATATTAAAAAGGTTAAAAATTTCCGTCGGAATTTATTTTTTTATTAAAAATTATATTCCGTCGCTAATTTTAAACGAAAAAATGCTTTATTTTTATTTTTTCCATTTTTTATTAAAAATTAAATTTCGTCGGAAATCCGTCGGTAATTTTAAACGAAAAAAATGTTTTTTTTTTTGTTTTTTTTCCTACCAAAAATATATATATAAAAAGGTTAAAATTTTCTGACGGAATTTAATTTTTTTTATTAAAAATTATATTTCGTTGGAAATTCGTCGATAATTTTAAAAGAAAAAAAATGTTTTATTTTTATTTTTTTCCTACCAATATATATATATATATATATATATATATATATAGGGTTGGATTTACGTGAGACCAGCTTGTTTTCGTGAGACCCTTTAGACCACATTTTTATACGTAAACTTCACAGCAAAAACACTGTGAAGGTTTAAAAAAAGTCAAACTTTCACAGCAAAAACATTGTAAAGGTTTAAAAAAGTCACCTTCACCGCATTTTGCTGTGAAGTTTCAAGTGTAAAAAGATGGTCTCACGGGTCTCACGAAAATAGGCTGGTCTCACGTGATCCCAAGTATATATATATAAAGGTTAAAAAATTTCAACGGATTTCCGACGGAATTTAATTTTTAATATAAAAAATTAATTTCCGTCGGAAATTTTATTGATTAACGCTAATTAATTTATTTATATAAATTAGACAAATTTTTTGCGACGGATTTCCGATGTATTTATTGTGACGGTTTTGAATAAGTAAAATATCCGTCATAAATCCGTTGAAAAACCGTTTTAAATCATTTTAATTTTTTTTTTCAAAAATTCAATGGGGATTTATGGGGGATTTGTGGCGGACGTGGATAAAAGTTGACTTTTTTGGGATCAATCGGGAATTTTTCTGACGGAAATTCCGCCAGAAAATTCCGTCGATAATACCCTTTTTTAGTAGTGGAAACAAAAACGAAATTTAATAGAGTTGAAACTAACAAGTTTAGTTTCAGGTGATGTACAACGGATATTTGTCAGTCTCTTAAACATTGATAAGTGTTGACCAGTGAACCATATTATCCACTCTTTGTTATCAATTGACAGCTTATCAGCTAATCGGTTACCCATTGATGACTCCACTTATGGTCAGTCTTAAATTTCATAACAGACTGATAATTTACCATAATTTCCATTAATCATTTCTCTTTAATGGGGTATTCTTTTTTATTTTTGATGTATGAATCGTTACAATTTCGCTAATCTATAGGTTGCGATTTATGCCTAATTGGGACTATGAATTGAGATTATCCTTGACTAAATTTGTTGATACCCAGTCATTTTTTATATACTACTGGACAAGGCATGCACTTTGATCAGCAACAAATATTACCGTCAAAATTTGTCGGTGATCTGCGATGGATCACTGAACTCCGCATTGAGAACATTAAGTTTCACATGGTTTTGCCAACAACTATCAAAATCGATGGTGATCTGTCGGAAAGTACAAATTCGCCAAACGATAGGCCTTTGACGATAGATGCTTGTAGGAAATATTTGATAATAAAGGTTATTGGAAAGCCATTGGAAATTTGTCACTAATATGGACCTTCAGGAATCTGTCGTTATTTATAGCCTTGGTAATCCGTCGGTGAAAAGGGTCTGTCGCAAATTCTTCGGTGGTATAAGGGTTGTCGGTAATCCATCGGTAAAAGTAGCCTTCAAAAATCCATCAGTGATACCATTTGGATTCCATCGGTGAATTCTTTACCCACCAATTCTTGGCCGATAGGCTTCACCTATGGATTTCAATATTACCGACGAATTTTTCTTTCTGAACGATTGTAAAATATTTTTGTAATATTGTTATAATTATTCTTCAATAAATTTAATGTTGGTAATTTTATGGAAATCGTTGGTTCATTATATGTAATTAGTTTAACAAGAGAGTACAAGGTGGTTAGTCAAACTATAACCCAGACTAGGTGGTGTGGATTGCACACTCGTGTAAACTAACTAGAACCCGGAATTAGTAAAGAGACATATACGGAGGGGGTCAAGGGGCAACGTCCCCTTGTGGTTCTTCGAAACCTCTACAGATTTTATGAATAAAAGTGCTGGGAAAATGAGTTTCTAAATTGGCCTATGACTTCCCTTCATAAGCTTATGAGTTCTCCACAGAAGCCTCAGATAGAATGTAACACCGTCAAATTTAGAAAGAGAGACTAATTTAAAATTTTCGATAATACATCAAATAAATGATGAATCCCTTTTCTATAAATCAATACTTGAATTACCTCGAATAAAAATTTTAAATTTAACATTAACAATTGATAAATCAAGGCTTACAGGTGTTACTAAAACCCAGATACAGTCATCTCCAAATACGGAAGATGTCAGCGAATAGCTAGATCCTTCTCATGTCTCTAACTAGCAATGAAATCATCATAATGTCGCTACCAAAGACCTGATGCACATGTCGACAAATTAAAAGGTTAGATTTAATATCAAGTGAGTTCAAGCAGTTCAAAATTAAATCGTACGATATAAATCGTATTAGTGATTTCTTTTAGTATTATTTTAATGTTAAAACTAAGTAATTTTTCAAGATGAATGCTCTCTTATTTATCATCTACTTTTTATCAAGCATTGTTTGGTAAACATACACTAGCTTATTTTTTTAAGTACATGTTGAATTGACATAAGCTAACTTACTGAAACGTTAGTTGAAATAGCATTTTGAAAACTCATTATCACTTTTTTCAATTATATACAACTCCTATTAATATTAATTATAAATAAATATTAATTATTACTAAATATTAGTTGAAAATTATTAATTTTTAATTAATTTTTAGTTATACATTATTAAAAAATTATTTAGAATTATTATTAATTATATCCATTATTTTTATATTATTAATTTTTAATTATTTTTAAACATATTTAAATATCAAAACCAGATACACAATTTTAAAAACGTTTAGGTAATTAAATTAAAGTTATATTTATTTTATTATATTTATTTTATTTTGTAAATAATAAATATGTGTTAAAAGATTTTAATAAAATATTTAATTTAACTATTACTTATAATTTTTAAAAAATTATAATTAATTAAGTTATGTGAGGTAGATGAATTTTTTTTTTTCATATTATATGTAATGGTTATTTAAAATTATAAATTAATGCAAATTTTTTTATAAATTTTGTTTTAACAAATCTAAAATTTATAATATGTAATAATCAATTTAATTTTCTATTGATTAACATATTATATTATTTAATTTTTTTTTACTATTTTGTTTGTATTAATTAACATATTGGTACTATTAAAGATTTTGTTATAATAATATTATAAGATATCGTAATTAATCAACTTTTCAAAATGACATTTTTGGTAATTTTACATATTTATCAGCCAGTTTTTGTTAAACATGATTTATTTATCAGTTAGTTTACCAAACATAGTTTAAACACGATTAATTTATGAGCCAATACTTGTTTATTAGTTAAAGTTAGATTATAAAGTAGTTTATCAAACATAATTAGTTTCCAAAAAAATTTGTAGGACCAACTATAATAGCAATGATGCTAATATATTATATACTCTGGAAAAATATATATTTAAACATGTTATTGTATTATTAAAAAGTAATCTAGTTCTAAATTAGCTGAGTACATGAAAATTAAATGTAGAGTATACTACAATGTGGTCTTTGATGTTTCATAAAAGTTGTTCAAGTGTCAGGGGTTGTTTGTTTACCTCTTAATAGTTTCATTAAGAAGTAGTCTCTAAATTATTAAAAGGTGAATCTTATTTGGTAAAAAAAAAGTCTGTCTTTTAATGGTTCTAAAATCCTCTGAATGATTTTATATCTTGTGCCTCCTTAACCATTCAGCACCCTAATTTCATTCTGAATAATTACTAAACAATCATATTTCATTTTGCACTATATTATAAGAATATCTTAATCATTCTGACCACTTAATCATTCTGCACCATTCTGACCACTTAATCATTCTGCACCAAACCATTCAACAATTGTCAAAGCCTTTTGATTACACTAAAACTGTAGTAGAAAGAAGCCTACAGAAATAAAGCAAAAAAATTATACAAAAAATTAGTAAATATAAGCATACCCAAGTCAAGATTGATCCTAGAATTATGTTTTTAACATCCACTAAATCTTGGCATGAAACAAATCAAGCATTTGATAATCATGTTGGGAAGTACTTAAAAGTTTTACTAAAAGATCTTCAATTTGATTTGCAGAATGAATATCAATTTCAATGTGTTTTGGTTCATGTTTCCTGTTCACTAGCAAAGGAGGAGTATTTACAGTGTTTAAATATCATTGTATTCATAATGAATACTTTCAGCCATTTGCCATACCTGCAGAGCATTGTCTTCAGCCACCTTGAGAGAACAGCAGGCCCATCTTCAGTTTCTTCTAAACAAATAAACACCAGATTTAGATGCTACATTATTATCATCCAAAATAACCTTATTCCCATTTCTTTTTGTTTTAATTGTAACAGAATGACTTCATTATATCTATTCACCTATCAAACCTCAAAGAAAGCCAATATCAAGATGCATACGTGTGACGACTCAACACAGACAAACGGCGGCATCTGAAGATGTAGCCAAAACCCACCCATTATGTGGATTGAACGATAGAAAACACCTGGAACAGAAGAAAAGCGACGAGTTACTAACAGAATATGAAGATGCTATCCTTTTGTCAGCAAAAAAAATTCAAGTCTTACATAGCCATTGATTGTTGAAGAACAAAGCTACAGTTTGGATTTGTAGATCTGCGCTGCCACTGGCAGCCTTTTGTGGTATTTGACTTCAGAATTGCAAGATAGGATTTGTAATGAAGCAAAATATGTTGAAAACAAAAATAACAATAGCTACCGCATTGTTTATCACAAAGAAAAAACAAAACAGAATCTTTTTACCTCTTGCGTCACCAGTAACCTCTGCAAGAACAAAACCCATCCTTAAAATGGTGAAATCTTTTTGAATCTCTCAACAAAATCTGCCTCCCAACATTCTTGGAGATGTATTTGGCCATCTCATGACAATCACTGCATACTCTCAGATTCTTGGCCACCCGTATCGTCTTACCAGGTGGTAACTTCAGTATTCCAAAACCAATCGCTAACTTCACGCTGTGCCCACAAACCGCAGATTCTTTCTCCATATCAACTTTCTCAACCAATGCGCATTTTAAATTAGGTGCGAACCCATCTTTCTTCATTTCCATCCTCAACTCGTCTAACAAAGATTCAATCCTTTTACCCTCTGGATTCTCTCCATCTCCTGCAACAAATATGTTAACTTTTCCCTTAGTCTCTATCCAACTACACTCCATGTTCTTTCTTAAGCTCCGTCGACCAATCCTATCTCTTAATGCTTTCACTTCCTCCCATTTCTCTGCCTCTGCGTATATGTTAGCCAGGAGTACATAGTAGCTTGTGTTTTCTGGTTCTAATTCGAAAATTCTATCTGCAACTTTTTCTGCTAGTTTCACATCATGGTGGAATCTGCAACCACAAAGCAATGCACCCCAAATCGTGGTGTCAGGTCTAATTGGCATCATTTTGATAAACTCGTATGCTTCTGATAATTTTCCTGCTCGAGAAAGAAGATCTACCATACAAGCATAATGTTCTAACTTGGGTTCAATCTTACAATCATTCACCATGATCTTGTAGAATTTCCGACCTTCATGGAGCAGCCCTGAGTGACTACAGGCAAAGAGCATAGAAGTAAAAGAAGCTGCATTAGGATCAATACCTTCTTCACGCATTCTTTTAAAGATCGATACAGCTTCCTGTCCAAATCCATGAATGCAATACCCAGCAATCATGATCGTCCAGGTGACTAGATTCTTGATAATGGTCATATCAAACAGTGATTTTGCTTGAACTAACCCACCACACTTAACATACATGTCAGCAAGTGCATTCACGACATATTGATCCGAAGACAAGCCTTTTCTCAAAACGTGGCCGTGGATCTCCCTACCTTTGTTTAAAGCGGCTAGGCTTGCACAGGCGGGAAGGATACAAGTCATTGTTACGTTGTCAGGTTTGATTTCACGTTGCATTTCAATAAGCAAATCAAGTGCTTCGTTTGGGAGACAGTTCTTTGAGTAACCTCCGATCATTGTGTTCCATGAGACGATGTCTTTAGAAGTCATCTCAGAGAAAATAGAATATGAATCATCCATGCTTCCACATTTAGCATACATGTCCATGAGAGCATTAGAAACCGGTAGAGATTGCATATTACTTTCTCTGATGTAATTGTGCACTTTCTTGCCTTTTTCTAATGAGCCATTTGACGCACAAGCGTGCAGGACAGTCGTGACAGTAAAAGTATCTGGTTTAACGCCTTCCTTTTTCATGTCAAGAAACAACTCAATTGCCTCATCTGATTGATTTTCTCTTGCATATCCAGCAATCATTGAAGTCCACGAAACAACACTTCTTTCATCCATGTTCTTAAATACTCGAAGTGCAGCATTTGTATCGCCACATTTTGAATACATGTCAAGCAAGGTGTTGCTAAACTTCATTTTCTTATCAAATTCACCTTTCACTGCATAAGCGTGAACCGCTCTGCCCAAAGAAACGACACCCATATTTGCACAGGCTACAACAACACTAACCATTGTAGCCAAATCCACACCAATCCCAGAATCAATCATCTCTTTGAAAACCTCAAAACCTTTGTAAGCAAGACCATTAGTCACATATCCGCTTATCATAGTGTTCCAAGTAATTACATCTCGGTCAGGCAAATCAGCAAACAGTTTGCGTGCATCATCAACACTTCTACGCTTAAAGTACAAAGCGATCATGGAATTGACAACAGTTTTATCAGATCCAAATCCCAACTTTAAAACATAGCCATGGATCCTGTCCCCTAAATTATCATTCCCAAGCGCTCCAGAGCACTTAAATATACATGAAAATGTATAAGAATCAGGTTCAACACCCACTTCCTGCATTATTTTGAACAAACATACACTCTCCTCATAATCACCCATCTTCGCATACGCATTCATCATAAAGTTCCAAAGAAAAACATTCTCTTTCACAATGTTATCGAAAATCCTCCGCCCTTCTCTCACATCCCCACAACTCACATACATAAACACAAGCTTTGAACCAAGAACAGAATCAACCTCAATACCCCTCGAACATATCATATTATGAACTGTCTTGCCATGATGCAGAGCCTTTAACTCGGCACAAAGCTGCAGGATGTCACAATAAGTCTTTAAATCAAGAACGATTTCTTCAGACCTACAAATCAAATCCACGGCCTTTTGAAGATTACCCACTGCACAGAATCTGCATATATCAGCATTGTAGTCTGCAACTTGATGACTAGAGGTTGAACTCAATGATAAAGTAGCTGGAACTCTTGTACATGAATTAGTATCGAAGCTTGGAGATAGAAGTTGTGAAGATCTTGAAGGCAGTTTGAATCGAAGTATGACATTTTTATGGCGAACAAGATATTCTTTACTTTTAAATTGATGATTTGGGGAAACCCATAAGATCTTTGTGGTTTTGGTCATTAACAGCATGGTGGCTATGGTACGCCCAATTCAGGAAGAAGTTGCAACGGCTCTTCAGGTACTTCAGCTTGTGAGCTACTGAAAAAACATAAGTATTAAACTGATAGATGGTTTTGTTTGGATTTTCTTGAAATACAATGATTAATTTATATGTTTTGCTAAATGCAGAGTCGAAACAATTAGTAAATATAATCACAAGGTGGTGCCTGATTGGTTTGAGCTTGACTCCAAAGGTCAAAAGTACCAGGAGGTCCCAGGTTCAAATCCAAGGAGGAATAAAAATCCCCTTGTGGCCACGAAGGTTCAAATGCGGTGACTCCGGGCTATCTGCAAAGCAAGTGGTCGTCCTGGGATTAACCAGCTCGCATAGCCGGTTGGATATCCAGGTTAATCAAAAAAAAAATTCCCTCAATGATTATAAGAAACCTCTCCAAGATTTCCGTAAAATATATTTTTTATGTTTCGTTAAAGCATCCCCGACCAAAATAGATATTTTAATCCATTTTTACACTACTACTTCGAGTAGGGTTGTGACTGTCTTAATCATGTTTCCTCGAATTTTTTTGACTTTCAACCAAAAATTTCCAACAGTCAGATTTCAAAAAATAAGCAACTCCAAATAAAAATTATCTCGATCCAGGGGCAGAACACAAGCATTTTAACCTCGAGGGCTGAACCTAATTCTTTTACGTGTCACATAGACGAGTCTAATTTGCTTTAATGTAATATAAATCTATATACATATATATATGACAAAAAATACACTATTCAAAGTTATAACATATTAAAACTCTAAAACAAGACAAAAAAATATGAAATCTTCGAACATTATTCATCAAAATAGAACTCGTTGATCCTTTGGATCTTTGAGTCTTACACAATATCCTCCAGAATGATCTTTTCAGTAATTGCCCTTTCGATAAATCAAACTGAGTCATTCAAAAGTAATCGTCTTTTATTTTTCTAAGAAATTGTTAAATAACAACCTAATAATCTAAGCAGTAAAATTAAATAAAGAAAACTAATCTAATAAATGAGTAGATCACCATCACAAAAATTGCATCTCAAATCACTGTAAAATCTAAATCAGTCTTAAGCCCCTAATAACAGAAAAATCTAAAGAAGTGTTAATAGAATTTAAGAGTGAACAATGAGCAGTAGTTAATAAATCAAATACTATGATATTTTAAATATGATATTTATACACTGTGAAACTGTTGCAAATAGAAATCCGATTAATCTTTTTGCAGTTTACATCAGTAAAATTAGACAATGGGAAATGGCAAAAAGAAAATGTTTTACACTTTTTTTTCAACTCAACTGACAAATATATAAACGTTAAAAGCTTAAATAAAGAAATGATACCAGCTTTGCTCCTAGTGTTTTTGACGTGAAAGATTATGGTGCCATCAGAGATGGGTCCACAGAAGACACCGGTGCTTGCATGGCTGCCTGGAAGGAAGCTTGTGCAGTCGAATCAGCTACTCTTTTAGTACCCTCTGGTTGCAGTTTCATGATAACCTCTACAATCTTCTCTAGACCTTGCAAATCAGGAATTGTCTTTCAAGTAAGATTAATATTTCTATTTCGCTTTAATTTCCCTTTTAATTCTATTATATTTAATTACTACAAGTATTGTAACTTCTTTCACCTATCTTCTTTCTAAAATGCAATTATTACCATCGACTAATTTCAATTTTCATATCCGCAATACATATGTAAAATGAAAACGCTAGCACATACATCAAACCAAAACTGTGTTTCTTTTTAATTGGGATGTGAAAATTTAGATAGACGGGGTGGTAATGCCACCAGCTGGTCCGGATTGCTGGCCGAAGAAAGATAGCAACAACAACAAGCAATGGTTGGTGTGAAGTAAGCTTGATAATATGAGTTTGACCGGAACTGGTACCATTGAAGGCAATGGCCAAGACTGGTGGGAACTCCCCTGCAGCCTCATAGGGTAATCAAGCTTCTGTTTTTTTACTACATTTTTAGATCTGAAGAATTAAAAAAATGTACTTGTAGCATATACAGGAGAATAGGATGTTGTGATTCATGTATGAAGCAAAACGTGATTTGTTTCAGGGTCCCAATGGTTCAACACACCCAGACCATGTGACAGCTCTACAGTAAGTTAAAGTAATTATTTAATTTCCAACTTAGGCTTGATGTGTTTTAATTATATATGCATAAGGTAAGGTGTTTTAGTTTTGTGTTTTGTCTCAGTTAATTCGGGTCTTTACGAGCTCAATTTTGGCAGTGACTGGACTACTATGGGTAGAGTACCGAACTTTACCCTTTTTCTATGGGTAGAGTACCGTATAATTTTATGAACAGTTCTACACAATGTTTGGTTTATAATTATCATGTTGGGCTTTCTGTGCCCAAGGTAATGTCTACATGAGTATGGTGGCTGACAAGGGTGTCCTAAAAGGAATTAGCAAAACAGAACATGTTATAGACTTGTAGTTAATTGATTCTAAATTGTGAAATATGAGCTTACTATCCAAAAAAAATGGTTATAAAGCGCTAATCTTAAGATCCCGATAGGCTAAAAATGGTTTCAAACAAAAAAGGCACTATATTGTAGTTCACCTCCAAAACGAACTACAAGTTCAATACGTTTTTAAGAACAAAACATTCTTTGTAGTATTTAACACTAACTATCCAACTAGTATCTAGAATTTATGCAAAATATAGGGTATATTTCAAATGCAACCATGTCCATTTGTACAACCAATGCAACCCAATCAATTGAGATATTTATGGAAATGATGAGAGTTCATTTATTACGATTTGAATATTTATGGAAGATGACTAGAGTTCATTATTTATGATCAATACTTTATATTAGGAAACAATCAAAACTTTTAATCAGAGGTCCCAGGTCACCACCACGTACGCAGAAAGGACTGGTATAACCAATAATACTGATTATCTGCTCATGTAATTTTAGGGTTTGTAATATGGATATGTATAGATGAAATTGATAGAAAATGGATTCAATTAACATATAGAAAAAGGTGATTTAACTTGATGCTTTATTTAAAAAAAAATATCTGTTCAATTCCAACATATTTGAAAATGAAGATAAACAACCAACATTAAGAACAGAGTGGGTACAAGTAGGGTAAAAGCGAGTGATTCATAGTATTGCAGTCGGCAGTGTCATGTTTCAAGGGGTATTTTTATAAAGTATTTTTATGGGGCAGAAAAGAAGGTGCAAATTAACAGGTATTTTTATGGGTAGAAGGACGGAATGTTAATCATTTCTTCAAATGCGTTAACCTTACACAATGAAATGATTGCAGATATACTGATAGAAAGACAAGTACCATTCATCACTTTTATCCATCAATGAACGAAATCAACTAAGTATTAAGCAATTACAAACTACGCATTACTCAACAAGCAATTTGAACAGAGCCAAATTCCAAATTCCAAATCAATCAATGAAAACTTGCAGCAAAATGGCACATAATTAAGCAATGTACCTTTCAGTGAATGAGATGCACAAAATCGAACTCCAACGTGATGAAACGCACAACAACAACTAAGAACTCTAAACTCCGAGGTGAGAGTGCACAACGACGAGGAGCCGAGGAGGGGTCGATTGGCGATAAGGGTTTCAATCTGCCGAGAAGAGGGAGAATTACGATTAGGCGTTCAATGTCAAAATTTCATATTCGCCCTAGAAGTTTATTTATTTGCATTTTAGTCCTTGAAGTTCAAAGATATACGGTATCACCTAATTTAATTTAATTTAATTTATTAAAATATTATATTATGTTTTTTTTTTTTTCCAAAAAATCTAAAGTAAAATTTACTCTATAGCAATGACATGTCTAAAGATGTTCATTCTTACGAATTTTAATTTTTAGAAAATATATTTCCAATTACTAAAAAAACCATTTAAAAAATCGGATACCTACTTGTTATTTTCCGTAATTTTAATTTTTAACAAACATATTTTCTTTTACTAAAAAAATTGTTAAAAAAATTTGGACACTTGCTGTGATGACATGTCGTGGGGTTGTAAATGTCTAATTTTTTAAAAGAATTTAAAACTCTTTAGTATATGTAAAAAAAATATATATATATTTGTTGTTGCCAACGTTTTCCTGGGCCGAGCCATAATTCTTTRTTAGAAAGGGCAGGCAAAGCCCGAAGGCTGCTATCCCAATAGGCCAGCGGGCGGAACAAGGAGAGGGCTCGACAATCGTACCACCCTGCGGTCGAAAAAGCGTCATCCTTATTGCCTTGGCTTCGATGATCAACCTTTAAGTTTCCCAGCTCCTCTATCCCCGGAAGGTAAATTAATATCTATAGTGATGAATTCCTAGTAGTCATTAGAGGTAATTTGCTGTAGTGAACTCCAAATAAACATTATGAAATAAAAGACAAACAAACATTATCTCGATCCAAGTTAAAAGTAATCAATTTACTACAAATATGATCACTAACATGGTTATGGAATGAAGATGTTTCTACATATAAGGTCTTGGGTATACGGTTATCGCTTTCTGTTCAATCGATTTCTTGTAATAGGAAAAAATTTCAGGGTCTTAAAAGTACACCTACTTTATGTTGGAAGATTTACAGAAGAGTGAGAAAACAACATGAACTTGGATAAAAACATGAGATTGTATGAGGGCTCGCTGTCTTTAAATTATATTATCACAAAATTAACTGAAGGATAATTTCAGATTTTTAGTCATGATTTTGGCAGAAATCATTCCCTTGCAAATTTAAAGAATCGTAAATGTTCCTATGCTGAATGTGAGAATAATACCTCTTTAAATAAAATTCATTGATGTGATAGAAATTAACCTGCTTGATCTTTTCACAATGAATTACAATACATATATGAACGAAATACATACATGATTCTAGCCAATCTACCATTATTAGCAAGAAATCTAGGAGATAATTATGGAAGGAAATTAATACAAAACGGTTACAAAATATTTACAGAATATTTATAGAGTAACTATCACTCCCTCGTAGTAAGTAACGGGGATTGGGACGGACGTTGGGATTTGTTGATCCAAATTCTCTCAGTGATTTGATGACGACCCTCTATACTTAGTGAAATATACTTGTTCTGTTTCTGTTCAGCTTCAACGATCATCTCTAAGTATGTTCAATGATCGTTGAACATGTATTGTAAAGCTTTTCAAAGCATAAGTATTCCTGAAAGACAAAACTCACACCAAATGAACCTTCAGCGATGTCAAAGAAGTAGCTAAAGATAGAGACATTATAGTTCGTGATCTGAAGTGGATTCAATGATAACAAGAATGTCTAAATCAAACTATGAAATCTGACCAAGACTTAATAAACACTAAATAACCTCTAGAGATGAATCAGTGTCAGCAATCAAATGAATCTTGCTTTACAAGATTACTTTTTTTCCTTATCCTGTTTACACAAAAGGACAACCCCATACCTTACACAGAAAAATATACGTATGGAGTTACTTTTATTATCTCCAAATGTGCTTACCAACTTTATGAAAGTTAATTGTTCATATGCAGCCAAAAGTCTGCATATATAAAGACAAAGGACAAGCTCTCCACTAGAAGTTTGTCACGTGGTGAAACTACTCACATAATTCGCAAGTGCATTGTAGCTACTGAAACTACTCACATAGCTAGCACTATGGAGGAACATTGAGTGGAAGATGTGTCAGGGATGGAAGAGACAAACGCTCCAAACTTTAGCATGAATCTGTCACTAACACATTCTTCCTGGTTTGAAGAATATCCAAGACCACTTTTAACCTTGGGTGATACTTGAGAAATCATCAAGTGCATCGTAGCTACCAAGACCACTTACTCACATAGTTAGCAAACTTCTAGCAAGTGCAAAGTAGCTACGAAGCTAGAAAGTACACAATAGCTACCAAAGTTGAGAAATCATCTAGGGTAAAGAAAATCACCAAAGCTAAAACACCATCAAAGGTGAAAACCACAAAAGTTGGTAAACCAACTAAAGTGAAGAGAACCACTGAAACTGAGCATCATACTCAATGAAGAAAGATGAAACCTCCATACCCACTAACTCATATGGATTCATTGTAACATGGGTATCAAAGCAAAATTAATTTCCTTTATATTGCAGGGAATAAAAGGCATCTGGTATCTTGATAGTGGATGCTCAAGACACATAATTGGTACCAAGTCCCTGCTATATAAGTACGAGGAAGAAAAAGGTCCTTCGGTGACCTTTGGAGTTGATAGAAAAGGATACACCAAAAGTTTTGGTGTATTAATGGAGTAACCACGTTTAGATGAGTTCTTACGTTGGAGGATTGAAACATAATCTTCTCAACATCAGGTTAGCTATGTGATAAAGACTTCAGAGTGAAATTCTCAAAGAAGACATGTTCAGTTATTGACAAGGATGACAAATTTGCATTGACTGGCACTCGCTTAGAAAATGTCTGTCATCAACATAGGTTCTCCTCTTACTAAGAGCATGTGCTTTCACTCTAAAGCCTCCTCAAATGTTAACTGGCTATGACATAAAAAGCTCTCTCACCTAAATATTAAAACTGAAAAACGAAAACGAGAAAAGATAATAGATCCTCCATTTTTATATCACATATCCTATTTTGACACCAAGATATACTGAATGACTTGTCTAGAAAAGAACTAGTCAATGTCTTCCTCAACACTCCTTTGCAAATGGATCTATTTGCTCAACTTGTGAAAAAGGAAAGCAAACAAAAGCTAGCTTTAAATCAAAATAGGTCTCCTCAGTGACTAGCCCTCTCCAACTACTTCATTTGGATTTGTTTGGCCTTGTCAACATTTAATCCATCGCTGGAAAGAAGTATACCCTCGTCATTATTGATGAGTTCTCTAGATATACTTGGACGTTCTTTCTTATATCCAAGAGTGATACTTCTGAAGAAATTATTTTATTTGTGAAGAAAACGAAAGTACTAAACAACCTCATTGTTCGTTCAATTAGAAGTGATCATGGTACTGAATTAAAAAACTATTATGGAAGACTTCTTCGAGAACAAGGGAATCTTTCATAATTCTCAACTATGAGAACTCCTCAGGGGAACGAATAGTTAAAAGAAGAAATCGAACAATCATTGAAGTTGCTTGATCCATGCTCAACGAATCTCATCTCCCTACTCAATTTTGGGTTCAAGCTATCAGCACTGCATGTTTCACTCAGAATCGATTGTTGATCTTCAAAAGATTCAAAAAGACAACTTATGAGCTCTTCCATGGAAGAAAACCTATTTTTAGCTTTCTTCATATCTTTGGTTGTAAATGCTACATCCTAAACAACAAAGATAATCTTGAAAAGTTTGATCCTAAGGCTGACGATGACATCTTTCTTGAAATTCTTCCGTATCCAAGGTCTTTAGAGTATTCAACAAAAGAAGATAAACTATTGAAGAAACTATTCATGTTACTTTTGATGAATCACGTTCAGCTAACTCTAAACTCATTCGTGATGATCCATGTTTAGCTGGTGGCATATATTCAAAATGGGTCACTCTTGTTCAACCTATTCATGATCCACGTGGCCCTAGAAAAATATTTTACAATGAGACAAGAAGTATGTAGAAAAGACATGGAACGTGCATTTGACGTATTGCAATCAAGATTTGCAATAGTAGCAGGACCTAATTGCAAGATTTGCAATAGGAGCAGGACCTGCACAGTTACGGATGAAAGAAATATTGCATGATATAATGACTTTGTGCATCATTATGCATAATTTGATCATAGAAAATGAACGTGATATTAATGCACCAACTGAAGAACAACGTGAAGTGTCAGATGTGGGAGTTGAGATGGTGAATGATAACAATAATGGACTTGAACAATTTCCTGCTCAATATAAAAAGATCAAGGATAAAGACGCCCACCCTGAACTTCGAAATGCAGTAATTGCGCATTTGTGAGACATATATACTAACTCGGAGAATTAGAATTATTTATATGTGTTTTTAGTATGTGTTATTTGAATTAACGTAATTTTTTTTGTAATGTAAAACTTATTAATTAGAAATTTATTTTTATTTTAACAAGTCTTCATCAAATAAGTTAATTACTAATTTATTATTATAATATGTAATATAATTATTGCTATCAAAAATAGTTTAATAGTAATAAAATATGTTATTTTAATGGGACCACAATTTGGTTTTTTTTACCAAGAAAACACAACAAATATATTAATGATCAAGAACGTTACAAAAGGATAACAAGTCCTTGTCCCACCACTCCGGAGAGCCGACCTTCGAGATGGGCTCAACGAAGAATGGAGATCGCCTAGCTAACTTGTGGGCAACCTCATTTATACTTCTCCTAATAAAATTAACCTTAAAAGATGGGGGAGCATTTAAGACTGTTTTACGAGCATGAATGATGTCCCCAAACTCCGTGCAATCTTCCTCATCGTGTGTTAAAGCGCTGACAACAGTTTGGGAATTGGTTTCGAAGATGACATTCTCGTGCCCCCATGTCTCGAATCCACATCAATGCCTCAAACAAGGAGATCTAATCGCATTCCTTTACATCCAGGATA